TGCTTTTTGTGGTTATTACACTTTCACTGGCATCATTGTTAAATGTCACCTTTACAAAAGATAAACAAAGAGTTGTGGTCCACAACTATTTGGACGAGTTTACTGAATATCCATATTCATTCATTATGTCACATTTGAATGACGACAAAAACACGTATTACATCCAAGGGGTAATACCCGGGTCCAATATAAGTGGTATGGATTTTGTCATCACAACTCGAGACGGTGTGTCACGACCAAATATGGTGCAATCAAATTCAACGGTTATAATCATTCATAACAAAGTGTTTGAAACGTATAACATCTCAGGAATACCACCATATCAAATGTCTTCTGAGAAACACGATTTCATGGACACGGACACTGACGTTACTTTAGTCCATCGAAGTATTCAAGATGATATCATCTTCTTGTGTAATAACTCGAAATTAAATATGTATAACGTGTTGATGCAATATCAAAGTGGGTCGAATATCAATTGTGGGAGTTCATTATCAGGAGGAGATAATATGATCGCTGTGAAAGGAAACGATTCCATAACACGACTTTATTGGCTGTCCAAAACACTTTCGTTGTCGTTTTATGCCCAAGTCAAATATCCAAATTCAACAACAATTAATAACGACCCCATTCGGATGAATAAATTTAATGTACTATATGCCCCTATCACGGATTCAAGTTTGTTTCTATGGAGTCGTGAAAATCTTTCACACATTAGATAAAGTACAAGTTAACTCCCCAAATGACTTTTATAAAAATGAAGAGAATCTTGTGGTACCCTTTTACTCTTCAAATTACTCAAATGCTTTCTATAACACACTTGGGTCTCAATTAGTATATACATATGGCAGCTTAGTCTTAATCGGAACACCTTTTGCATCTTCAAATTCTCTCACAAATAATGGAGGCGCTCGACTCTATTTCGACTATTATTTATCCGCTGAACCAGTCAGGTTTAAACTTATCACAACATTTGCCGGAGGGGATGTGTCTAACACATTCACTGGATGGAGCGTTGGTATGCGTTTGTTTATATTCTATTTGTATATTAACTATTATTATAGTATATTATTATTAAAATTAACTATCATCACAATGACACAAAGGGAGTGGGTATGTGTTCATAGGAGGAGCTGTTAATAGCACCAACAAAGGTGTTGACATTAATTCTATTATGATCAATGTAACAAATATATTAGTGAATTACTGTGTAGGATCTGTCTGTGCGTGTCCATCTGGTTATATATTTGTTGATGGCGATTGTCTTTGTTTGTTTATTATAATAATTTAATAATAATAATATTAATTATAATAATAATAATAATAATTATAATTATAATTATAATATTATTATATTAATTTTAATTATTATTAACAGGCAACTAGTGAACGAACTTACACATAGCAAGTCTAGACACGAGTCATATGATTTTAACTGTATGTTGTATTGGAGTTGGAGTGTTTATATACATTGTTATTCTTATCGTATTATTAGATGGATATTATGAAGCTTTATCTGACACTGGTGCGAGTACAATGACATTTACTGTATCTCCGTCTGACTTTATGCTTCAAGGGAAAGTGTGTGAAGAGCAAACAGTCCACTTGTATATCACAAACACGACGTCAGAGTCCGAAACGTTTTCTGTTCGATGTGAGAAGTGTTGTTTACAAGTCACGACAAATGAGATAGTTGTTCCTGCTCGAACGACAGAAGAGTGCTCTTTCAACATCATTCCGATGAGTACACGTGTGAGCGCCTATTTGTTTATTGGGACTGATATCATCAATGAAGTCAAAATAGAAGCCAAATTTCAAAGTCATGAAGATTTGGATGTTGAGTGTAGTGAATATCTCTTGTTGTTTACAGGAGATGATGTCAACATCCTTCAAAGTCCACCACTTTCTCTGGACTTATCAAGAAAAGTGCTTGACAGACTTTCTCAAACAAAATCGGCTCACAATTTAGTTCAAGTCAAGAAGTGTTCAATTCACCCCAATTTTGTTATCGCGGCGGAGAAATGTCGTGTTGTGGTATTATCCGATGACATATTAAAAGTCTTCAAAGGGACTGCTTTGGGGTT